CCGCCGCCGCCCGCGCTCCCGGCCGCCGCCGGCCGCCTCCTCCGCTCGCCGCCGCCCTTGGCCTCCGTGCCAACCGCCGCCATCGCCGCCTCCCACGTGGTGCGCCGCTGCTCCGCCGCGGATCCGGCGAGCCGCCGCCCGGATCCGGCCGGCCCGGCTCCCTCCGGTCTCCCCGACCTCTTCCGGTGCCGCCCCGGAGCTCCTCCACCGCGCCTCCCGCCGTCCCGCGCCGGATCCGGCCGGAGGAGACCTTCCCCGCCCATCTCCGGCCACCACCACGTCCATCTCTGGCGCCTCGAAGTCCGTGCCCGATCTGGATCACGAGGTTGACTTTCCCCCCTCTGAAAATGACTGTTCCTGAATCTGCAGTAATTTTCATGCCATATTCGTCATGCCGTAACTCTACATCCGTAGCTCCGTTTTGCGCGTGTAATATGTCAAATTGTTTGCCTCGACGAGTACATCATTTTGTTCCATTGCATCATATTAATTTGAGGTCATCTTGATGCCTGAATCATCGGTGTAAGAGTGCTTCATAATGTTTTCTGCTGTCTGTTATCAGAACGAGCTCTTTTGTCATTTTTTCCATGATTGATGTGTGCATCCTATGAGGTTGATGTCTTCATGTGTTTTGATCTATGCTATGTCTTCTTTACAGTGGTGCTTACCATGTATTTTTTTGATCAATGTGGTGACTAGCACAAGCATGCAAACTAGGCATCGTGATGTTGCTGATTTTAGTCCCTGTTCTGCTGTAATTTTGATGCCATGTAAACTTGATGCTACAGAGAGATCCATGCATATTTAGAGATACTTCAGTAAGGGTGTTTTGAGCATGTGGTTATTGTCTATCCATTCATGCCCTTTGTTGCAATTATGGAGTAGTCTAGAATGTCATTTTCGTGCTCTACTTTTGCTTCAAAATGTTTCCTGGCAGATTGTTTTCATGTTATTCAATTTGGCCAAGCTTGCTATAGTTGATCCTTGCATGCTATGGACTTGTTCTTGACTTGGTTTGTTTCACAAACATGTCTTCTTGATGATGCTATGATTATCTTGTCATGCAATGACTTGTGGTGAGTGAATCGAGGTTGTTAAGTAGGGTTCATGATGTTGATGTTTTGCTAGGCTGAATCTGTTATTTCGTGATGCTATATAAACATGTTGCTACTAATCATTCTATGCATAATCTGGAGATGTTCTATAAACATGTTTTGATTTACATGTCATCCTCTATCCATCCATGCCCCTGGTTGCATTTATAGCTTGTTGTAGCTTGTTGTTTCCTTTCTCCAAAGTTGCTTCATATTGTTGTTGTCAGCCTGTTAACATTAAGTTCACTTGTTCCCATGTGTTTTGCTAGTGATCCATGCACCCTATGAACTTGTTATTGCCATGCTTAGCTTCACAAATATGTCTTCTTACTGTTGGTTGCCTTGCCATGCCATGTATTGATCTGTAGTGAGTTGCACAAGCTCATAAACATGCCTTCATAATTCTGTTTCTGCCATGTTTGAATCTGTAATATAACTTGCTATGTTTACATGGGTGCCATCATATTTTCTGATCCTTTTTGGCTCATGGTCAGTAAGGGTCTTTTGATCTATGCAATTAGTAGATTCATGCCATTCCTTTTTTTCCATGATAAGTTCCTGTAACATGGTGTTTGATAGCTCTAAACATTGCATCATGATGTTATTTTCTGCAAAGTCTGAATTGTAATAACTTGCAATCTTACCATGTGTGTTTGAGCATGTTCTAGCGATTTCTGGAGATAGCTCAGTGTTCATGTTTTGTTGTCCTTTACCTGTACATCACGTCCATGCCTTTTGTTTTCTTGTTGAGGTCCTGTAGCATGTTATTTTGATGCTTGCAATATGCCTAGTTGCTGTTTTGGACAACTTGTCCTTTAACTTGTATTGTGTGTGTGTGTTGAAACGTTGCTCCGTTTTGAGTGTGCTCTATATGAAACTTGCTTGATTTTGCATGTAGTTTCATATTATCATGTTGCATCCATGTTTTGAGGTGTTTGCTTGATGTTTGAGTGCATTTCGCATCAATGCCATGTTTAACTTGTTTTGCTCATATCTTCTAGACCGTAGCTCCGAACTAAATGAACTTTATATGTAACTTGACTAGAATCTCGTGTAGATCATCTTTGTGCATCTTAACTTGCTGTTTAACAACTTGAACATAAGGTTTATTCAGATTTGGACCAATTTCAAAATTTGCATATGAGGACTTACCGGAATTGTTATATGTTGTTACCGGCCTCATTTAAACTTGCCTTGATGTGTTGCTCTTGTTTGCATCATCTCTTGCCATGAGTAGCTTCATGTGGTCTTGTCTTGCATCATGCTTGTTCGTGCATCATGCCTTGTTCATGTGTGGTGTGTTTACTATGTTGTGTGCTTCTTTTCGATAGTTCCTGTTTCGTTGCGATCGTGAGGAATCGTTCGTCTACGCTTGGTTCGGCTTCATCCGTTCGTCTTCTTCATGGACTCGTTCTTCTTCCTTACGGGATTTCAGGCAAGATGACCGCTACCCTGGATCTCACTACTATCATTGCTATGCTAGTTGTTTCGTTCTATCGCTATGTTGCGCTACCTATCACCTGTTTATCAAGCCATCCCAAATTGCCATGAACCTCTAACCTTTGACACCTTTCCTATGCAAACCGTTGCTTGGCTATGTTACCGCTTTGCTCAGCCCTCTTATAGCGTTGCTAGTTGCAGGTGAAGTTGAAGATTTCTCCATGGTGGACAGGATTTTGGTTGGGATATCACAATATCTCTTATATTATTAATGCATCTATATGCTTGGTAAAGGGTGGAAGACTCGGTCTTTTGCCTAGTGTTTTGTTCCACTCTTGCTACCCTAGTTTCCGTCATACCGGTGTTATGTTTCCGGATTTTGCGTTCCTTACGCGGTCGGGTGATTTATGGGACCCCCTCGACAGTTCGCTTTGAATAAAACTCCTCCAGCAAGGCCCAACCTTGGTTTTACCATTTTCCTCACCACCACCTATCCCTTTCCCTTGGGTCGGCCAACCCGAGGGTCATCTTTATTATAGCCCCCCCCCGGCCAGTGCTTGTCTAAGTGTTGGTCCGAACCGAGCCGCCTGCGGGGCCCCCTCGGGGCAACTCCAGGTCTGGTTTTACTCATAGCCTGTCTCATCCGGTGTTGCCCTGAGAACGAGATATGTGCAGCTCCTATCGGGATTGTCGGCGCATCGGGCGGTCTTGCTGGTCTTGTTTTACCATTGTCGAAATGTCTTGTAAACCGGGATTCCGAGTCTGATCGGGTCTTCCTGGGAGAAGGTATATTCCTTCGTTGATCGCGAGAGCTTGTCATGGGCTAAGTTGGGACACCCCTGCAGGGTATAATCTTTCGAAAGCCGTGCGTGTGGTTATAGGCAGATGGGAATTTATTAATGTCCGGTTGTAGATAAGTTGACACCAGATCCGAATTAAAACGCATCAACCGTGTGTGTAGCCGTGATGGTCTCTTCTCGGCGGAGTCCGAGAAGTGAACACGGTTTCTGGGTTATGTTTGACGTAAGTAGGAGTTCAGGATCACTTCTTGATCATTACTAGTTGACGACCGTTCCTTTTGCTCTCTTCTCGCTCTTATTTGCGTATGTTAGCCACCATACTTGCTTAGTCGCTGCTGCAGCCTCACCACTTTACCCCTTCCTTTCCCTTTAAGCTTTGCTAGTCTTGATACCCATGGTAATGGGATTGCTGAGTCCTCGTGGCTCACAGATTACTACAACAACAGTTGCAGGTACAGGTTATGCGATGATCATGACGCGAGAGCGATGCTTGCTTGCGTTAAGTTCTTCTTCTGCTTCTTCGATCAGGGATAGGTTCCAGGTCGGCAGCCTGGGCTAGCAGGGTGGATGTCGTTTGAGTTTTTGTTTGTGATTCATCCGTAGTCGGATGATGCTCTGATGTATTGTGATGTTGTATTCGTGTGGCATTGTATGCCTTTTGTATGTATCCCCATCTATTATGTAATGTTGATGTAATGATATCCACCTTGGAAAAGCGTTTCAATATGCGGGTCTATCCTTGGTGGGACCTTCGAGTTCCTTTTGGATAGGGTCGCATATTGGGCGTGACACACAACGAGAGCTATGACAAAGGCAAAACAGGTCTCTCACTGACATAAACATGTGGACATTTGGCTTGTAGTCTCTTGACATAACAATAATAAATTAATAATAGTAGTAGATGATCATGTAGTCTTAATTTCATAGGTTTATATTTTAACTATACCATTTACAGTTATAAAATAGCCACAGTAGATAAGCTAAAATTAGTAAAAACATTAGGTGTCAAAGATCTACCTAATTAAGATGTGTCAATTACTGAATATCAATTATTTGAGAACAAAAGAAGTATGTTGGGAGAGCTCCAATTTTATGAAATAAGATTATTCCAACACAATGGTTATTTGAGAACAAAAGTGGTGGTGTTGTCAGCATTGCTACGAGAATATGCAACTTATGATCAGAACATTTTTACCCGCTAATTGTGACTTTAGATGTTAAACGAAGGACATGTCTAAAAGCTGCTAACATATTCATCACTGTGGTAACTCACCGATTGTGACCAAGAAGGATGTTCAATGAAGCACGTGCCAAAAAGATGACGAATATATTTATGACCGGTTTGTATATTAGAGAATGTCCTTGATGGCTCAACAAGTCCAAGAGCAATCCATTGGTAAATTAGATCTTCTATAGCCATCCAGTGACCTTTTGGAAAGGTTGCGCAATAAGCAAAGCATAACTTCAAGTATGGATCCATACGGTGATAGGTTAGCTGTAAGGATGCATGCACATGATCAGGTGAATATTCTCCGGTGGCAAGCACATCCCAGATCTCACTGTTGTTCACCGACACCCATTCATCGAATTCCATGTTGCCCAACGTATACCCAATAGATTGGGCTACTAAAGCTAGAACTCCACACTTCTTTGCAATTTCCTTTCCGATCAACTCTAACTGCACTCTTTCAGCCCTAGATTCAAATGAACTTTTAATTTTTATGATAGTCCAACAAATGTCATCTGTCAAGGGAGCTAGCTTGTATGGCTCCACTGTGTCTGTGTGAATATTCTGTGCTATAGATTCTTCTCGTGTGGTTACTACCACCACCACTTTGCCCCCTTCACCCAGCTTTAGCATACCCTCTAACTTTTTTAACTGAGATGATTGCCTCTCCCACAGGTCATCTAAGATGATTAGAACCCTCTTACCAGAAAGGAGCTTTTGTAGGCTATTTTCTATCATCTGAAGGTCAGTATGCTCACTCTTGTTACCAGATAGCTGTGTTATTGTAGAATTCCCAATTTTCTTCATATCAAATGTCTGGGAAACATAGGTCCAAACCCGAGAGTACTCTTTGAACTGGAGATCATTGAAAACCAATTGTGCCATGGTTGTCTTCCCAATGCCTCCAATACCATATGTTGGAAGGAATGTGATCTCTTGTGTGCTGCTCTCAGATAAAATTGACAATATTTTCTGTTTTTCTTTGGTCCTTCCGATGATTAAAGCTTCTTTCATGGACGATGTTGTCTCCCGTATATCACCAACTTGCTGCAAATTAGAGTTATTATCTTTTGCCATGGAACTGCAGTTCTGGTGTTCATTTGTTATATTGTCCTGCTCGTCTCTCGTCGTCTTCAACGTGTTATCCATTGTATTTTTGGGACCAGTTGCCGGATAAAGGGGCACATCTGTCAACTGCAACAACTTTTTATGTGTAAGTACATGGAAAAGAGCAGTAGAATTATCACGATCATGATCACATAGTCTCCTAACTCTCTAGGATGATTATGCTATATGTGAGTAAGCTAAGATATTGACGATCTTTCAATTAACTGCTCTTCAAAATGTCAAGCCGGCAGAGGAAAAGGCGGTAATACCACGTGAAATGACACCTTGGAAAAAAAGACACCATTTCCAAGAATAAAAAATGCAACATATACTAGAATGGCAAAATGCAAGACAATGAAGACATTGGCTGCCTTTGTTGTAGAACTCCGAGGAGGCAGAGAGAGGGGCCTTTTCCTTTATTTATGGCAACTAAGTTACAATGACTCAATGATTAATACGGTATCCTAATCCATCAGACTAGAACTCCTTATACAAGACCAAAGTCAAGTATGGCATCCAAGCCTAACAAAGTATGGAAACCTCACGCTTTCTGACTCAAACTAAGCCAAGAAGCTTTGGATTATTTCCAACAGCCTCTGTACTCTGATCATGCTATCCTCTAAGCCAGTCGCTGCCTCATACGAGTTCGACGCCACAGTAACAGTCACACGGCAGAGCACGGTTTTTTGAATGTGCAATCTCCTTTTTTTTCAACTAAAATGAAGTTTCTTCTACATAGATTAAAGAGGGAAGAATTAAAAAGAAGCAGAACTAAGTTTTGCATCTCAAGAACAAAATGAATAGGAAAGGAGGAGCTGGAAAATCTACAACCGTACTAGTCCATCTAGCCAAACAATTGTCTTGTGCCAATTGTAAAACAAATGATCTCTAGTTTATTTAGTTTGCATTAAGTATGCAGATTATACCTGTCTCTTGGGAATATGAGTTTCTGTCTCATTCAGGGTATCCAGGATATCTGCTACAGAGGGCTTATTATCTCTTTCAGAATCCACACAACGTATTGCTAATTTGATACACGTCTCCAGCTGACGTATTTCCTCCGATCGGTAATTTGATGTGTATCCCACGGCTAGGATCAAACTAACGCTTATCTAATATCATTTGCTAGCCTGATTTGTATTCAAATTTTTTGTGTCTCCTTAATTAATGAAAAGGGCAAAGCTTTTCCCTTTTTTCTTAAAAAACACAGTTTGCCAGTAGGTTTTGCTTTCCTATTTTTCCTCTCAGGGCTATCTTTGTTGTTAGTTTGTCACTACTAGGTACTAGCTCCACGGAACGACGGCCCTCTGCTTGTTGTAACCTCACTCGGTGAATGTGCATTGCGTCGATCCAGTGTCTGTGATACCGATGATGGCCGTGACAGAGGCAGAGGTCTACAAGCTGTCAGCATGCACATTCGTCCATGTAAATAAATATAATCTAAAATTTGTTTATTTATGTCTGTCCATGTAAATAAATATGATCTTCTTGGCGTGTATATTCACGTGAAAAATATAAACATCGTGTTTAGTACTCCATGTCGTTCAGTTATGTGCACCGTTGTTTTCACCCTAAGATCACATATGTGGATGCTACGTGCTGCGTAAAATAAATGGTGGTTTGTGGGCTGCATGCCACCACATCGGCTTAGAATCTGGTGAGTTAGATGATATTCACACAAAAAAAGTGTTCACCACTCAAAAGGATGCCACTTTGGGGGCGCCTAGACACATGCTCAGACCGATGGGGTGGCTGCCCCTACCGACGTTCCCCGTACTTTTTCTAAAAGAATTAAACTTTCGAATTTAAATGATAGACTCGAATTTCATTCAAATTTAAGGACACATAAAACAAAATTTAAACTAAAACTTGAATACTAATAAGAAACCTAATCTAGGTCAACGACGGGAAGGGGGCTCGTCGTCGTGCGTGCACCAACCTCCTCACCATCGCAGCCTCGCGCACCACCTGATGGTGCGCCTCCTCCATCTGCAGGCGAGCGGTGTGATCAGCCTCAACCTGGGCTTGCAATGCCATGGCGGCTAGTCATTCCTCCATCATGAACTGGCAGGCGGCCACCTCCCTCGCTGCACTAGGGACGGAGATACTTATCTCTTAACACGGCCCTCAATGTCCGCATTAGTCTGCTCAACGGCTACTTCCCGCATGCATCCGCCGTTGGATTCTCTCTCGTCGCAGGGTGTCAATGACTCCAACAAGGTGGCCTGCTCTGGCGCGCAAGGTGGTTGCTTCTGCGCCTCCTCCGCACCCTCTTCCTCTCCCTCCGCAACCCCTTCCTCTTCCTCCGCCTCCTCCTTGCCTTTGTGGTCTGAAGGCAGAGGAGATGTCTAGGGTGGTGGCACCTGTGTGCGTGTGGCGGAAGTCATGGTGGCCTACGTTGTGGCTAAGTAGCGAGAAGAGAAGGGTGAGATGCGAGCACAGCAGACCATTTTATAGGCTTGGAGCTCCGCAGGAAATGGTGGTGAGGGTGGGAACCAACGCGTCGGTTTAATGCCAGTGACGCGTGGGGAAGCTGCACCACCGCAGCGACGGTAGCACCAGGGTAGCGAACCAAGAAGGTTGTTCAGCACCATTGGGCACCATTAAAACAACACTGACCAGCCTCTGTGCCGATGGTAGGCCAGGCCTGCCTATCGGAGTCCTACGTGGCAGGTGTGTATGGGCGTGTCCAGCTTCCCCAAAGGTTGGGGGTGAACAAGGGGTTGTCAAACAGTTTTTCGGGCTGTCCGGACCGATTGGGGCACGGTTAGGAGGCTATTCATGCCCGGACCCCATTGGGCCGATTGGAAGGCCTATGGGGGCACAGGTGGGGATGCTCTTACGCCGATTATTTTTTTTGACGGCTTACAAAATAAGCTGCCCCCCCCCCACCCCTCCCCGGCTTTTCTACAAGCCGTCTAGCTTATTACATAAAGGCCTTATGTGAGAAGTTGGGGAGGGATGGCTTATTTTCTAATCACACCCATTGATGTGCTTTAATTTTCATGCAAAGGAATGTTCGGATAGCAAAGGAACACCTCTCAACATGTATAGTGCCGTCTACCGTAAGGTCTAAAGATTATGTTTTAGTTACGTAATGTCCGGTTTAGCACAGGAACGACATGACAGGGTGTGACCATTGGCGCCTCATGAGTTTAGTAAGTTATTAACTCATTACTTGGTAATCAAAATGCACAAGTGTAGATATCAAACATATTCCTGATCGGTGGTTTGATATATGAACTAAAAGAAAAGGTTAATTACCAAAACTAAATGTCTTTTTCTTACCTGCTGCATTAATTGTGCCACATTGCCCACTTCAAGAGAATTGGAGTAACTTGCAGGTGCTGTCATTATCTCTATCATTACAACACCCAAACTAAAAACATCATTCTTAGGTGAGATTATGCGATACTTTATGAATTCTGGTGGCATGTACTTCCTGCATAATACCAAGGACACAATCAGTGCAGATACCATTTATTCAATTAGAAAATAAAGAAAAATTCGAAATCAGCCATTCCACGCGCTACTTACCGGGTTCCTATGGCTTTTTCTGTGACATGAGTGTATGATTGAGTGAAGAGCCTTGACAATCCTAAATCCGCCACTTTAGGCTCCATGGAACTGTCTAGCAATATATTAGCGGGCTTCAAATCAAGATGCAAAATTTGAGGTACACATTTGTGAAGGAAATTTAAACCTCCACAGACCCCCTTTATAATATTGTAACGTGTGCTCCAATTAGGTGCAAAAGATTGGTCTACACAAATTGACAAAGGGAAAATGGGAATTCAGTTTCACTTAAACACATAAGAAAATGATCGTGTTTTGGTTAAGTTAAGTTGTCATACCATGAAGACGCGTGTCTAGGCTTCCACCCTGCAAGTACTCAAAGCAGATTGCTTTATATATATGTTCGCTAAAATCACCATTGCGCTCAACAAATATTTTCTTTGTTTCATAACAATAACCGACTAACTGTACAATATTTCGATGCTTAGCCCTCAAAAGGTTACCAACTTCATTTTTAAACTGTTGATCATCAATTCCTCGCACTGCATCAACAAGAAGCAACTTCACAGCAATATCTTTCCCATTGTAAACTCCCTGCTTGACATAAGTATTGTACATGAGTTGCCTGTCTATAACTGAAATGTTTGTTACCAGTTCAAACTTGACATATGATGGAAAACCAAATATCAAGTTTTTAACTCATACTCCCTCCATATTAAAATATATGATGCTTTCTGACGCCGTTATAGACTCTAAAAACGTCTTATAAAAAGTTACAGAGGTGGTACCTTGTAAACATCTGCAAACCCGCCCCTTCCAATTCTTGAGCCCACTGAGATTCCGTTGGTAATGTCTTCTAAGATACTTAATGATATATGCCTTGGTGTAGTCATATCGTATCAGCTAACTTGGAGTGATATATGCCTTGGTGTAGTCATATCGTATCAGCTAACTTGGACCTCCTGTACATAAACAAAAGAAAAGTGTGAAAAAAATTCTTGTAGTTTACTATTGTGAAGGTAATTTCTAGATAGCCTGTTTAATTTGCCGAAGATTCTATGAATTATGTGGAAGGTATTCATGGGTAAGTTTTACTGACATACTGTAGTACATATATAGAGCATGCATGGATGCAGAGTGAACACGGTGAACACATATGGGCATTAATTAAAGGGAGTACCTAGAACTCATTTAGATGAGATATAATTTGGTCTCATTCACTTTGAAAACAAGAATATATACAATCCACGTCAGCACCCACGCATCTTATAGCATCACATCCAATGGCTATAGAAGGTGAATGAGACCAAATCATATCTCATCTAGATGAGTTCTAGCAAAACTGTTAATTAAATTTAAAACTAGCATGAACACAGATTTTGTAAGGAGCTTTGTTATAGGATGAAGGTAGTCAGTACTTAGGACATAGGATATTACTGCAATAAATATTGAGCTCTTATAGCCAAACACAACGTAATTTTGGAAACATCCCAGCCATCTTAATTAGTCACTCCGGCCCAGACTGAGCCCAGCATCAATACAACAAATTCGGCCAATCTAGCAATACAACCAAAATCAGCATGACACATGTCTAGCTCTAAATCGGGGGGAAGCTAGCTTAAGGTAATTTTATGAAACCAGAGCGGTATTGACGATGCAATTATCTCCGACATTGTGGATCACAAAGGCAACGCCTAAAATACTGAAGTGATTCAGAAACAAGAAGTGCCAATTAACAGTGGAACATCAGACCAGTCTATCTCATACTGATACACTCCTAGTTGCAATCCTGATTCAGAAATTTACAGCGTCGTACTGTACTTTTTACTTGTGGGTCAACACACCACGCCATATTTTTTTTTCGAAAAGGGGGGACTCCCCGGCCTCTGCATCAGATCGATGCATACAGCCTCTTTTATTAAAAAGTAAACAAGGTCTCAACAAGGTCTTAAAGTATTCAAACAAAAGCAGCAGCTAGCTCACCTAGAGCGTCAACTGCAAAACAGAAGCCCCAAAAGCCACAACCGGCTGGCATAAAAACAGATAGGTAAACTAAATGCCTGTCCTATTACATGATTGCCATTCAAACTGGTTGAAGATATCCCGCGCTACCGTCTCCCACCGGACAGATCCAGTAACCAAACGCTCCCTGGCCTCCATCGGAGTGAGTAAGGACCACGCACGGATCAGTGCTGCAGCTCGGAATAACACCTGCAAAAAATGAGTATTTGTTGTTCTGTTAAAAACCAAATCATTTCTGCAATTCCAAATTGCCCATAACAGCGCGCATACTCCTACACGAATGTGTCTGGCTGTTTCGGACTCTATCCCAACAAGCCACGCCCCAAATAACGTGTTGACCGATCTCGGAGGAGTAATATTAAAGACAATTTGCACGGAGCGTCACAACCCTCGTGCCAACGGACAGTCAAAAAATAAATGCTTGATAGTCTCATCCCGATCACAGAAACTACACCTAGTAGAACCTGTCCAGTTGCGCTTAACTAGATTGTCCTTTGTAAGAATAACTTGTTTATGCACGAACCACATAAACACTTTAATCTTCAAAGGTACCTTAACTTTCCAAACCTCTTTGGAACTAGGGATCACAGTAGAATTAATGATATCAATGTACATCGATTTAACCGTGAACACCCCAGATCTAGTTAGCTTCCAACATAACTGGTCGGGCTGAGGAGTTAGCTGAACTTCCATCAGCCTACGGACCAAGTGAAGCCATGCTTCCCATCGATCCCCCACAAGCACCCTCCTAAACTGAATGTTGAGAGGAATAGACTGCATAACCGTGGCAACGAGAGCCTCCCGACGCTGAACAATACGATATAGGGTCGGATATTGTGAAGCCAAAGGCGCGTCACCAAGTCACGTATCCTCCCAGAATCGCGTATTATCACCATTACCGACAATACATCTCGTTCTGTTAAAGAAAGCGGCTTTGACCCTCATAAGCCCTTTCCAGAACGGCGAATCGGTAGGTCTCAGAGGAACCTGGGATAAAGTCTTTGAGTGCAGATATTTACTACGTAAAATCTGTGCCCAAGTTGCCTCTGTCTCAGAAGACAACTTAAACAGCCACTTACTGAGCAGACATCTGTTCTTGACTTCAAGATTTTCAATACCAAGGCCCCCTTGGTCCTTTGGTCGACAAATAATATCCCATTTGGCCAATCTGTACTTCCTCTTAAGCTCATCACTCTGCCAAAAGAAGCGAGAACGATAGAAGTCCAGCCTTTTCCTAACCCCGACTAGGACCTCGAAGAATGATAAGAGAAACATAGGTAAACTCGTGAGCACCGAGTTAATAAGAATCAACCGGCCTCCATAAGACATGAGTTTTCCTTTCCAGCAACTCAGTTTCTTCTCAAACCGATCCTCGATGCACTTCCACTCACCATTCGTTAGCTTACGATGGTGAATGGGAATACCAAGATACGTGAAAGGTAAAGCCCCAACTTCACAACCAAACAATTGTGTATACGCTTCTTGTTCGTCTTTGGCTCTACCAAAGCAGAACAACTCACTTTTATGGAAATTAATCTTCAGCCCCGACAATTGTTCAAAAAGGCATAACACTAACTTCATGTTCCTCGCTTTTGCCAAATCGTGTTCCATGAAAATGATTGTATCATCAGCGCATTGCAGGATGGACAAACCACCATCAACCAGATGAGGCACCAATCCCTCCACCTGACCGGCCTCCTTGGCCCTCCCAATCAGGATCGCTAACATATCAACCACCATATTGAACAGAATAGGCGACATAGGGTCACCCTGTCTCAAGCCCTTGTGAGTTTGGAAGTAATGACCTATGTCATCATTAACTTTAATGCCAACACTTCCTTTTTGCGTGAATGCTTCCACCTGACGTCGCCAGGTTTCATCAAAGCCCTCCAACCGTAAAGCCTGTTGGAGGAACGGCCATTTGACTTTATCATAAGCCTTCTCGAAATCCACTTTGAAAATAACACCATCGAGTTTTTTCGTATGAATTTCATGAAGCGTTTCATGAAGGACCACAACCCCTTCGAGGATGTTCCTATCCGGCATGAAAGCCGTTTGAGAAGGTTGCACTACTGCGTGCGCAATCTGTGTGAGCCTGATCGTCCCAACCTTGGTAAAAATTTTGAAACTGACATTCAGAAGGCAGATAGGCCGAAATTGCTAGATTCTCACGGCCTCTGTTTTCTTAGGCAGCAGGGTTATCGTTCCAAAATTAAGTTGGAAAAGCTGCAAATGTCCCGAGAACAAATCATGGAACATCGGCATCAGGTCCCCTTTGATAATATGCCAGCACTTCTTGTAAAACTCAGCCGGGAAACCATCCGGCCCCGGTGCCTTGTTACATTTCATCTTGGAAATAGCCTCGAAAACCTCCTTTTCCGAGAAAGGGGCTGTCGGTGTCAAAACCGGCGGATCTCGGGTAGGGGGTCCCGAACTGTGCGTCTAGGCGGATGGTAACAGGAGACAAGGGACACGATGTTTTACCCAGGTTCGGGACCTCTTGATGGAGTTAAAACCCTACGTCCTGCTTGATTAATATTGATGATGTGTATTACAAGAGTGGATCTGCCACGAGATCAAGGAGGCTAAACCCTAGAAGCTAGCCTATGGTATGATTGTTGTAATGGAGGTTATGTCCTACGGACTAAAGCCCTCTGGTTTATATAGACACCGGAGAGGGCTAGGGTTACACAGAGTCGGTTACAATGGTAGAAGATCTACATATCCGTATTGCTAAGCTTGCCTTCCACGCCAAGGAAAGTCCCATCCGGACACGGGACGGAGTCTTAAATCTTGTATCTTCGTAGTCTTGGAGTCCGGCGGACGATGATAGTCCGGCTGTCCGGACACCCCCTAGTCCAGGACTCCCTCAGTAGCCCCTGAACCTGGCTTCAATGAGGATGAGTCCGGCGCGCATAATGTTCGGCATTGCAAGGCGGGTTCCTCCTTTGAATAATCCAGAGAAGATTGTGAACACCAGGATAGTGTCCGGCTCTGCAAAATAAATTCCACATTCCATCGTAGAGAGAATAATATATACACAAGTTCAATCTGCTGACGTATTTTGTCGCATGACGTCACACCACTACCAAGCCTTTACTTGAATCGTTTTTTATTATACCACCTCAGCGCGTTTAGCGAAGCGGTTTCCTTGGCACGTCTTGTCGAAGCAGAGATCGTGTTCCCCTTATTCCGGGATTCTCATCAATACGGATGGGTAACCCAACCGCGCCATTGATGGTGGCGCTTGGGGGATAAGCGAGTTTTATCAGGCTAGTGGGGACGCATAGTCTTCGTCCGCCTATATGTAAGGGATAAGGATTCACCTTTTCACCTACGCCTTCTTCCTCCTTTGCTTATCCATCTCCGCGCACTCGAGCTCCAGCGCCCAAGTTCGCACATCTCGCCTCGACCTTCTCCGACCATGTCCGGAGCGGAAGGTAAATGGCTGGCCTCCACCGTTAAGGAGGAGCACATCACAAAGCTGCGCAGCGCCGGATACCTTTCCGGTGACATCGCGCACCGGCTGCCCGACGAGGGGCAGCTCATCCCCACCCCCGGGCCCCATGAGAGGGTCGTTTTCCTCCCCCACTTCCTCCGCGGACTGGGCTTTCCACTTCACCCCTTTGTCCGGGGGCTCATGTTCTACTACGGCCTAGATTTCCATGATCTGGCACCGAACTTCATCCTCAACATCTCGGCATTTATCGTCGTGTGCGAGGCCTTCCTCTGCATCCAGCCCCACTTCGGCTTGTGGCTCAAGACCTTCAATGTCAAGCCGAAGGTAGTGAAGGGCACTCAAGCGGAGTGAGGAGGCGCCATGTTGGGCAAGATGCCCAACGTCCTTTGGTTCGAAGGGGCCTTCGTGGAA